GTCCAAAGGAGCAACTGTCTCAACGAAGTAATACAACAAATACAATTCTTGTTCACTCTAAGGAAGTGTGGGCCAAGGTACACAAAATGTATAAGTTGTCGCAATATGTACAGATATATGCTTCTTTGTGGTTTAATCCTGCCATACATATTGGTAAAACGTTAGTGTATTGGAGGCAGTGGCGTTCAAGTGGTATATGTACTATAGGAGACCTGTACAAAAATGGACAATTGATGTCTTATGAGGAATTATCGTGTCAATTTAACTCGAAGGCAAACAACATTTTTGGAAATACATACAAATCAGGGACTGTGTAAAATCTCAAATTGGTAATTGTTCAGAAATTAATATTTTGGAATATCTGAATGTGCCACAGGAACGCTGCATGGCTTCACAATTTTATAAACTAACAAACTATTCAGTAAGTGGTGAGTCCTCTAATGTGAAATTGTTATGGCAGAGAGACCTGAGAATAAACTTTACACAAGAGAAATGGTTGGGTATACTAGCAGACTGTGAAAAGTATGTAAGGGAGGCAAGAGGGAAGTTCACACAATATAAGATCATACATAGATAATATCATACCCCTGTGAGATTATATAGAATGAAATTGATGAATGACAATATGTGTTGGAAGTGTAAAACAGAGGTAGGAACTTTTCTTCACTGTGTATGGGAATGTGCATTAGTGAGTCCATTTTGGGTTAAGGTTGTGGACTTCTTGAGAAACTGGTCAGGCTCAGTGATTCCCCTGACTCCTGCCGTATGTTTACTAGAGGACAGATCGCAAATACCGAATATATCAAAAATAACTTTTTCTTTCATTATGGTTGGTCACAGCTTCCAGAGTGAAAACTCAGCCTAAGAAATCAGACTCAATACAGCATAGCTTCTTCTCTTCTGTAGACTGGATTTCCCCTCCTTTCATACTTGATTCTCTTATTTTATTTTTCTAATTTTATTTTTCCTCTGTGACATGTCATAATATGTTTATGCCAAGACTCCGAAATGTATGACCAACCCTGTACTCATATACTCTGCTATTAAGAATTCAATAAAAATTTAAATGAGAAGAAAAATAAATAACAAAATACAAACAGAAAAATACAAGATATAACAAAAAAACTGAATTAAAGTTGTATGCATGCTGGTGGGGTGTGTCACATACAAGTAGACACTTTACAAATAGAGCAGGTCTAGACCATACTCCTTATAAAACTATTTACAGAGACCCATACAGTTCCCTACCATAGAGCAGCACTGGCGACAGCGGCAGGGGAAAAATCATTCCTTTAAGAGGCAGAAATCCCTGAGACAGACCACTTGGCTCGTCTGCCTCACCAGGTTGGTAGAAAGAAGAATATAGAGAGATGAAGAGAGGGGGGTAACGACAGAAGATGATCAGAGATCAAGGTGCATCAGCAAATAACAGTAGCAACAACTACACTAATAGTAGTGACTGATAAGGATGATGAACATGAAGAAGATGATGACGACAACGAGAACATTAGTAATAATAGTAACTGTATAATAAATAGTCACAGTCATGCATTTGAGGTCCAGTATATACAAGGAATTGAGAGGAAGTTACCTGCTCTCTAGTCGTGTGTACAGTTGGGTGTTGTCTGTGCGTAGGACGAAGACGATGTGAAACCAGCGTTCAGGGAACAGGTCACAGCCATGATAGTCAACAATCATACCACCCTCGACCATCTTTTCATCCAGCTCATCCACCACCTGCAGGATCACAGCCAGTTACAATATTTACCCATTCAATCTGTAGTGTACATTTACTTCATGTTGGTTCAACAACTTAATTGAATGAATGCAGCACATCCTTCTTCACTTCTCTCCCAGATCTGAAGTGCAAGACTTATGTTTTTTTTTTTTTTGGAAAGGTGTGCATGTCAAAACCTTACAAACAACATGCTGGTTTTCTGGTGTTTTTTTGGTATACTGCAGCCTAAAATTCATGGCAGTTTTTCTAAAAAATTGCAATGCAGAATTCACAAGGATTGGTTGAATTTGCATTATTTGCTCTGATCACACACATTGGAACCTTTTGTAGGGACTGATTAAGACTAATAATGTATTTCACATGGCTGGTTGTGGCTGAATTGAATTAATAAAAGGCATTGTCTCTGCCAACACTTAAATGCTGTGAAAAGATAAAATTAGAATTTATCAGTGTCTCTGCCACCTGCTGCTGTTCCATATCACATAATTTGTGTGTGTAACAAGCCGCCCATTGGAACAGCCAAATGGAATGCAACCACTGACATTTAGAGAAGCACTCAATTTTACACATAAGGTTACTGGTCATTGGGAGTAAAGCTCAGCTTGGCTTGGAGACTAACAATTTGTAACAGAAAGCCTGAGGGCGTTTTCACACATACCT